TCCGATTCCCCGATTCTCCGATTCCCCGATTCTCCGATTCCCCGATTCTCCGATTCCCCATTCCTCGTTTTAAAGATAGCCATCGATTGTCAAACAATTTACTCATCAAGTTCGGCGTTAAAACAAACGAGCGAAACACTAAAAAAAAATAAATTCATCCGGCACCTTTGTTTTATCGTTGTTGACTTCATTCACAGTTGTCATCATCGCCTAAAAATGAGTGGGTTTAGTTTGAAGAAAAATAAATTTCGGTCAATCGATCTGACCTGCTGGCGATCGACGCAACCTCTGCGTTTACGATTCTTTTAAAAAGTCTTGAATACGAGTTCTTGAAAAGATTTTTGGTCCAAGGGCGACATCAGTCATTTTGAAAATTCTCCATCCTTTCAAAAATCCTGGACTTCGAGTGATGTCTTTCGAATAAATGAAAACTTCATTCAGCAACTGTCCGCCAAAGCTTCTCCCCCAGGGAATTGGGTCGACGTACAGTTTAATTCTCACCTAACCGGAGAGGTCGGGTATTTCTAAAGAACTGTGTATACATTGTTGGTAACAATGAATTAATTGTATTCCATGGCATCAGACTGCGATGCCTTTGCCAGGTTTGTTTACCTAGGTGGCTATTAATTTACTACTAATCAAAAACTTGATCATTGGATAATGCAAATCAATTCATGGTCAGTGTTACCGCTGACTGAAACATTCCTCGCTTACATAACCGTAATGACGGTTAGTAGTAGTATTTTTAATCCTAGCTCTAGTTTTATACCTTAGTTTTAGTCTCACGTTTTTAGCTTTGATTACCTCTGTATTTTAGACATTTAATGTACATTTTAGACTTTCATTTTTTTTAGAGGATCCTCCTGGAAACCACTTCTAGGTGATTGGAGGCCTCCTCTTAAAATATTAATTTATTATTATTATATTAATGACGTAAAGAAAAAAAAACCTTACATTTACCTTTTTTCCTAAAATCGTTGCAATATTTGGGCTAACAAATGCGATCTGTATGATTAAGCTGTTTTTGTTGCTGTTGTTTTGATTGGCAATTGACGCAATGCTGTTATGTGCCAGTTTTTTTCGTATAATATCTGTTCCTTGAATGCATGTAAGATAACTTCAGAATGCCTTATCTAAAAGCACCGCAAGGAGCGCAAAAAACTACCAACTGATTGATGACAAAATCTACATACGTTATCAAATGCAATATAGAGGAGGGGCATTAAGATTTTTGGTTTTGCGGTTTTGGCTATTTTTTAAATCGGTTTTTCGGTTTTTGTACCAAAAGACTTCGGTTTTTCGGTTTGGTATTCATTCCGGCTTGCGGGTGTTTCGTTTTTGTGTTTAATGCGCATGCGCATTAAACAACTATGTTGAAAACGGTTCCGTGTTAAACCATCCCGAGTGTAAAACTTCGGAGGTCCCATGGGATTTCCCGAAGAAATTTATCATGACGAGTGTTATTTTCTATTGTTGTCGTATTTAATCGGGAAGGCCGAACACTAAGTACATGCGGGCAATGGCGCCCTAATGCTGGTTCATGCACGTCGTTCTTGTGCATGGGAAGCAGTGTCGTTTGAGCGTTCAAGTAAAGGCGGCCACATTCCTACAACTTGTTGGGCCTATCGTTGGATGTTGTGTTGTCGTTGCCGTGTTTCCTGCTTCGAATAATTAGGACAGCTTTCCGTCGCGAGTTGGTTTCCAATTTCCAAGTTAAGTCTAAGTTATTTTCCACTTCTTAGTCGCTTTGTCGTTTTCTTCCTTTCATCGAAAGTGCTGCACAGCCCTCGAGAATTTAAGTTTACGTACCGACTCCATGTTACTCCTTGTTTTTTCATGTAGGTGTTGCTAACCGAGTTTCCTCGGCTACAGGATTTACTTTGGTCATGCAAGCCATTGAAATTTTCTTTAGTCATGGCTACATATGATATGAGATGTGATTTCAGTCGAACTGCTGAACTTGCTGGAACTGTGTGTTATCATGTTAGATGGAAAGATCAATCTGCGGGTGCGATTGTCTACCTCATCACATGGTCACCGGGGATGCTGGAATTTGATGCTTGCGATTTTTATTTAACTGTGTCTTACTTGCCAACATCGCAACAAATTAAGCTTATGTACACTACGACAAACTGGAATCAAATGATGTTTTGGTTTATACCTAATGAGGTTCTACTACTACATATCACACTGTTTGTATGGCAAACTGAATGCTGTGGAGGAAATTCCAGGCCTTTCAATATCTGATATGATTGGTCCAACGACCACTGTGTCTGTGGACTACAAATTAAGGAAATGAAATACTCTTTGGTGAAAATGCTGGTAAGCAATGTGTTGAATTTTCCCATAAAATATAATATAATAATTTGCAAACTTATTTCACTGTGAATATGATTATTGGAAGTGACCTCTATAGCTCTTCAAGATTTTCTGTACGAACAATAGACTATTTTCTGTAGACTGATACACGTAGCTAACTGACTTACATCCAAGGGGTCTGTGACATTTCCAGACTGCACACTTTTTATTCATTATCGCATCCTCATTTCCATTACCGAGAGCTAACCGTAAACAGGCCAGCCTGAGTGATATTCAGGTTAACCGGAGTGACTTTTAGGCTAACCAGGCCACTATTTAGGCCTAAATGTAGTTTGCAGTCTGCAAATGTCATACACTGCATTCCATGTTTGTTTTCAATTTTTA